AACCAGTTGGCAGCAGCACACTAGCACAGAAAGGCAGCAACACAGATGACCAAGACCAAAAAAAATCCCGAAGGCAGCAAGCAACATAACACTGGACCAAAACAAAATTCCCAAATTTTGAAAATCCTAAAAATCTCCAATTAAATTAACCTAATCAAATTTTTTGAAAGTCCACACTCCATACAGACCAGAAGATGAAGAGGTAAGAGCAGCAGTAGATCTGAAAAAAAAAATAGAAGCAAAAAGAAGATCACAGTCGCAGGCGCAGGTGAGTCGCCCTTCCTCTTCCCTCTCCTTCTCCTTTGGTCCTCTCGAGCTCCTCCTCTTCTCTTCTCTCCTTCCTCTCTCACTCTCTCTTTCTCTCACATATCGAATGTCGATTGGAGTCGGTTCATAGATCAACGACGCTTTAGTTTTTTCTTTTTCAAGCCAAAATGACGTAGCTTTGGCCTTTTTTTTTTTGTTTCGACCCACTTAAGTTTTTAAAATAACAAAAGTATCCCGCCGTATCCAACCAAAAAAAATGACAGCCACTGTTCAGGACTCTTCTACAAGTGTCGAACACGTATCTGACTGTCGGACATGCGTATCCGTGTCGGACACGTGTTCGACACTGCCACGGCGACCCCTCGACGAGTATCCGTGCTTCCTAGAATATCACACTGCAATTACATTTAATACCCACTGCAATTATATTTACTACCCCACTACAATTACATTTAATAGTTAATATTCACTGCAATTACATTTGATATCCACTGCAATTACATTTAATACCTTACTACAATTACATTTAATACCCCACTACAATTGCATTTAATAGTTAATAACCACTGCAGTTATATTTACTATCCCACTGCAATTACATTTAATAGTTAATACTCACTGCAATTAATCCGCTTCATGTCATGCCTTTTTTTTTCCTCCAATTTAAATTTATTCTTGTATAAACGGATGTTAACCCAATAAATATGTTGAATTAATCAATTATTTAGCTTATTTTATAAATAAATGAATTGTATTTGTGTTTCCATATTTTTTTTACATTTTCGAAACGTTTTCGTTTTTTAGCTGACCGAAACGGTACTTCGAAACGAAATTTCGATCCTTGGATGTCATCAACATAAAACTTAAAAGGTTATGGTGTTGCATTAATCTTACCAAATTTCAATTGTTTCTTAAGACTGTCCACGTGATATAATCTATATCTATCTATCTATATCTATATTACTTATAAAAGTACATTAACATGAAAAACTTTTAATTAACTATTTTACCCCCATAAAAATTTATCAAGACAATTATGCCCTTCTATATTCATATTATAATGTAATNGTACATTAACATGAAAAACTTTTAATTAACTATTTTATCCCCATAAAAATTTATCAAGACAATTATGCCCTTCTATATTCATATTATAATGTAATCTTTTATTTAATCATTTATATTATTATATATAAAGTCAATGTCTTCAAAGAAATTTATAAAAGTACCTTAATATAAAAACTTTTGATTAACTATTTTATCCTCATAAAAAATTATAATGACAACTAAGCCCTTCTATTTTCATATCATAATGTAATTTTTTNCTTATAAAAGTACCTTAACATAAAAAATTTTGATTAACTATTTTATCCTCATAAAAAATTATAATGACAACTAAGCCCTTCTATTTTCATATCATAATGTAATTTTTTATTTAATCATTTATATATATATAAAGTNTTTATAAAAGTACCTTAATATAAAAACTTTTGATTAACTATTTTATCCTCATAAAAAATTATAATGACAACTAAGCCCTTCTATTTTCATATCATAATGTAATTTTTTATTTAATCATTTATATATATATAAAGTCTATGTCTTTGAAGAATTTTTGATTGATGATATTACCCTTAAACACTATTATTCTTCTTTTTATTAAAATATCTCAAATACCACTATTCCTTCAATTACCAGAGACAATATCAGGTCTATGTATATCCCTTTTTTTCTTTACTCAAAAGTCCAACAATTTAATCTCTTTTTAGATTTCAAGGATTGCTAACCTCCTCCTTTGCCTTCTCTGATGCCAACTGGTCTTTTTTGACCATAGTCTACCTTTCAAATTATATTAGGAATCCTATGTATAGATTACAAATAATTTCGTAGTAAAATAAAAAATCTTATTTATCACATGTAAAATAAATACTCTCTTGTATTGGNTATCAGGTCTATGTATATCCCTTTTTTTCTTTACTCAGAAGTCCAACAATTTAATCTCTTTTTAGATTTCAAGGATTGCTAACCTCCTCCTTTGCCTTCTCTGATGCCAACTGGTCTTGCTGGCCGGCCCAATATGTTTTTTGACCATAGTCTACCTTTCAAATTATATTAGGAATCCTATGTATAGATTACAAATAATTTTGTAGTAAAATAAAAAATCTTATTTATCACATGTAAAATAAATACTCTCTTGTATTGGACTGTATTTTATTTCAATTGAGATAGCTAATTCCTAATTAAAATATGATTTTACTATAAGAAGAATCATATCAGTTATTTTTTTATGTATTTCAGTGCTCTATAAGTGCAACCTCAATCATATGACTTCTAAAAACTTACATTCAAAAATTCATAACCTCAATATAAACAACCACTCTTGATTCTAAAACGAAAAAAAAATCTCAACTTATAGTTTATTTTATTTTTACAATTGGATTTAGTTTTTTTTTTTTTNGCAACCTCAATCATATGACTTCTAAAAACTTACATTCAAAAATTCATAACCTCAATATAAACAACCACTCTTGATTCTAAAACGAAAAAAAAAATCTCAACTTATAGTTTATTTTATTTTTACAATTGGATTTAGTTTTTTTTTTTTTTGTAATTCAATAAGTAATATTAATGTTACAAAGAAATTTTTTGTAAATAGAAGGAGAGGTTTAATTTAGTTATACATATCCTTTACGTTTTAAAGATAATTTCTATCAAAATTTTTCACAAAATTCTACAAGTGCTACGCACGTGGTGCATTGCCAGTAAAGCTTATAAATGTGGTTGCTATTATTAATCTTGAGTTGGAAGCTACCAGAAGCAAATATGATAATAGATATGTTTACTTTCTCCAGTTTTTGATTGCCCTTTTTCTTTTTGGGAGTGTGGGGGAGGCATGGGTTGGTGTCAGATTCTATATGCGCACTTGTGCAGTGTTCATAAAATCATAATTCTTCAATTTCGTTTGTTGTTTGTTTTTCACTTTCTAAATTAAATATCTATGTTATTCACATCGGCATAGTTACTGAGAACTCAAGTGACTAATTCTCGTTGTACTCTTTAGTTTTTCAGTCAAGTTTCATCAAATTCTATATGGTAGAAAGTTGGTGGGAAGGCTTGTACATAAGTAGCATCATGCTATGAGAGCTCAAGTATCAAGTTGGGAGGGACTAACCAATAAACCGAAATTGGTTAAAAAAAATTACAACGGGGTGTTCTGCATTTAGTCGTTTAGAGTTTACAGCATAGATTTAGATAGGTAGATAAAATTTACTTGATTTTTTGTTTTGTTGAACTATAGTAAGACTGTAAGATTTACTTTAATTCTAAACCAATTTCTTGTAATGCACTTGCATTCTTTGCCTGTGGGGTAATTCTACTATAAATTTTGTTCATTTCCATTGACTGCAGAATTGGTATTTGTTTGTTTGAACTGTTACATGCAGATATCAATGATTCCATTAGTATGTAGAGCTAAATATTATTCAATTCCATTCATTGCAGGATTGTTATCTGATTGTTTGAAGTGTTGCACAGAAGATTCTGATGATTCCATGAGCAAGGTATGGCATGATTCAATGACTGAGATAACATATTGAAGCTGAATATTATTCTTTGTTACCTATTTCACATTGACAGTTGAGACTTTGAGGGTCATTAATGGGCATTGCATGTTCCTTTCTTTATGTTAATTTTTAATAATCATTATCTTTCTCCACAGTTCATGTTTCAAGTAGACATGGACAAGGTTAGGATGCAAGCCAATCTGCCAATCCAATAGACAGCCTTATCTGTGCTTCTGTATTTCAATTCTTTTGTTCCACTTCAAGAAAATGAAAGAAAAAGGTAACTGGCCGCTGTTCCAATCAATATTCAAAAGGATCAAACCCTATATAATGTCACTTAAATTCTTCTAAAAAGCAGGGTGGGGTTAAGGCTTCAATTTTTAAGAGTAATGTGTATGCAATGCACCTACCTTGTTGGGTCAGGTTGACTGCAGAAAGCAAAATGCACGGTGCAAATGTTGCCTGTCAGTGAACAAACATTATTAAAATCTTCCCAGTAACTATCTTTGCGGCTTAGTGGGCCGTGGGAAAATGATATACACTATGGTGCATTTTTGGGTTACCCTCATAAGATTGTCCTAAACAATTAAATGTATTAGACTAATGATATTATTTGCCACTGCTTTTGTCTAATTTGTTTGTTCCCCTCCTGAAAGTGCCCGTCAAAAAGTCAGAACTGTGTGCAAGTATACTTGTGGAAGAAAATTTATTGATAAAGACCATTGTTTGTCATGTGGAAATTAGCTGTGAAGGAAACCATGAAGAACTGGCAAATTCTTGTGTTTGGCCTCCTGATAAAGCTGCCTTTTTCATTTTGTGCGTAGAGGAGAATAAAATTTGTGAGCCAACAATGCCATTTTTTGTGCCTTGGAGGTCATGGATCACACATCAGGCTTATTTTTTCCTGAAATACTTGGGAGAAATACCTTGCCAAGTGCCCTATTTTTGTGTGCATGTATATGCCATAGGCAGTTAAATGTCTGTTGATCAACCTAACGTGTTGTCCCAATATACGACATTTACTCTGCAAATATACCAATTGTTGCAGTGTTACCAGCCACTAACTTGGAGAGTTAAGGGTGACTCAGTTGCTAATAGGCGCATATAGGGATTGAAGTTTCGGGGTGAGGGGGGAACATTCGATGTGTATAACGTGCTCATACTAACAGGTTAGGAGCTTCCCCCTGAAATATCTAGGCTAGTCCCTTTAGCATTGGTCATCTCAATGGGTTCAGAAACCACACATTTCTTTGGATCATCATAGCGTACTTCCACATATCCATTCAGAGGAAGATCTTTTCGTAATGGATGGCCCTCGAAACCATAATCTGTTGATATATGGTGTAGATCCGGATGATTGATGGAAGAAACACCAAACATAACTTAAAAAAATAAAATAAGAAAAAAAGAAAAATTGTAAGACCAAAGTGACTATAGTCTAATGCTGTAAACAAACATTTTTAACTACAGTGCACTTGTATTGTCACTTTATGTAGGAGAACACTTCAAATTATTGAGGGATGCTGTTTACTTTAATTCATCTTCGAGATTTCCTTGTGGTTGGAAGATTTGTGAAGACANTAAATAAGAAAAAAAGAAAAATTGTAAGACCAAAGTGACTATAGTCTAATGTTGTAAACAAACATTTTTAACTACAGTGCACTTGTATTGTCACTTTATGTAGGAGAACACTTCAAATTATTGAGGGATTCTGTTTACTTTAATTCATCTTCGAGATTTCCTTGTGGTTGGAAGATTTGTGAAGACAGAGGGATTGCATAATTTCTCCCCATTATGGCTTTGGATTGTAATAGATAAGGTTGAATCAATGAAATANCAGAGGGATTGCATAATTTCTCCCCATTATGGCTTTGGATTGTAATAGATAAGGTTGAATCAATGAAATAAATGTTGTTTGGCTGAAACGATTTGGTTTCCATAGAAAACGAAGCGAATTTGTGGTTGGAGTTAATTATGAACAAACAAGAAGCCAAGGAGGATAGAAGAAAGAAAGAAAGAGAAATTATATTAATGTGTAATGCACACTCAAAGATGCACAATACATGCCTTTATATAGTAGGACAACATAAAATAAATAAAACGATAAAATTACTCCTAATACTAATAAGTTAGAATACTCTAACACCACTCCCTTTACATCAAACTCATGATGTGGTAATAGAGAACATTAAGAGTTTGCCAAGGAGAAAGCAAAAACGTTCTATGATATGAGATTTCGTAAATAAATCCGCTAACTGTATAATAGAATGAAGAAAGGGGAGATTGATAGTGCCCAACTAAAGATAATGGCACACGAAGAATCTCGATATTCATTGTACGCTCATGGAAGATAGAATTTTGAGCAATCCAAATAACACTAATGTTATCATATTAAATAAGGGTTGAAGTAGATAAAGAGATGCCAAGATCTGTAAGGAGCTATTGTAAGTTTGTAACTAAACTATCTCAGTTGTGGTAGATACCATAGCACGCATGGTTCAAGGTTGCGATATTGGTCATCAACTCGTAGTTTTAGTACATGTCGGTCATGATGTCACGGTATGGTATCGACCGATACACAAAAAATGGTTGATATTTCTAAAAAATGTCACAATTTTTAAAAATTGTAAGCAACATAATCTATGCATTATATGTCAAAAATAGATAGGACTCAAAATCAATTATTATTGGCTCAAAGTTAATTATACAAACCGGGGAAGTGATTTTCACTATAAGGATAAATCTAAATCTAATGTAATTTCAACATTCATTTATAAATAATCAAATGAATTTAAAAATACATAAACATTATGTTGTTTTTGATAGATTTCACCAAACAAGAGAAAGAAAATATAATTAGATCACTATTAGTCTGTACGATTACATTAAATCTTAAAATACATAGTAAAGGAAAAAAAATACTTAGTAAAGGCCCTTCTATAATAGGGCAACACAAAATAAAGAAAATGACTAAACTAACCCTAATATTAGAAATATTAGACTATTCTAACATCCTATCTCAAACTCATTATGTGGTAGCCGAAAACATTAAGAGTTTGGTAAGGAGAAATTGAAAATGTGTTATGGTGTGAGACTTCGTAAAGAAATTTGCTAACTGCATAGTCAAAGACAGAAAAGGGAGAGAAAGTGTGCCAAGCTGAAGATGATGACGCACCAAGTGGCAATTAATCTCAATGTGCTTAGTGTGCTCATGGAAGATCGAGTTGTGAGCAATTTGAATAGCATTAGTGTTGTAACAATATATAGTGGTCGAAGTAGATAAGGATATGCCAAGATCAGTGAATAGCCATTGAAACCATATTATCTTAGCTGCTGTAGATGCCATAGCATGATGCTTAGCTTCCGGAGAAGAACGAGCAACTATCTTTTGCTTCTTGATTTTTCAGGAGATAAGAGAATCACCTAGAAAGAGACAGAAACCAGTATTAAATTTGTGATCCATAGTATTGCCAGCTCAATCAGCATCAGAGTAAGCCCTAAGATCCATAGAAGAGGAGGAAGGAAATAATAGACTCAGATATTATAGTACTTCAAAGATACCAAAGAATGCGTAGAACAGTAGTTTTGTGAACAGTGGTAGATGAGGCAACAAACTGATTCACAATGTAAATAGCATAAGAGATATTCGAATAAGTAATAGTAAGATATACCAAACTTCTAACAATAGTGCGATATAGAGCAGAGTCAGGCAAGAGAATGCCATCCGCAGAAGAACACCGAACATTGAGCTCCATGAGTGTCTCAACTGTTCAATTATTTGATAACCGGGTTCGCTGAATATCATCTGATGTATACTTGGACTGAGAAAGAAGATAACATTTAGGAGAAGAAGCAACCTCAATCTTTAAGAAATATCGAAGTTGACACAAATATTGCATCTCAAAATGGTCTTGCAATTGATGTTTCAAGAGTTGTATGCCAACGATGTCATTACCTGTAATAATCATATCGTCAACATAAAGTAAGAGAATAATAAAGTCAGAAGCAATTGATCACAGAAAGAGAGCAAATCATGATCATTGACATGAAAATTCAAATTACAGATAATTGAAGAGAACTGGGAAAACCATGCTTGGGAGCCTATTTAAGGCCATAAATAGCTTTTGAAGCCTACATACTTGACTAGGACTACTAGCCAACCTAGGAGGAGTCATAAACACCTCTTCAGATAAATTGCCATGGAGAAAGGCATTTTTCACATCCATCTGAGACAAACTCCATTGACGTATGACAACCACTGCAGTCACATTGCGAACAATAGTCATCTTGCCAGTGGGAGTAAAAGTCTCATCATAGTCTAGACTATACTCTTGAACAAATACTTTCGCTGTAAGGCAAGCCTTATACCTTTTCATAGTCATTAGATTTGGTTTTGATCAGTGTTATTTAAGGCGTAAAGCGAACCGAAGCGACTAAGGCTCCTAACGCCTAGGCGAGAAGCGAGAAGCGAAACGAAACGCTTTACCGAAGCGAAGCGAACAATTAAAAAAAAAAAAAATATTTTAGTTTAATTACTTATACACATCTAAGTTCAATTTTATATATACTAAATATTTAAAAGCAAGTAAAACCATAAACATTTAAATTAAAACAAACACTGAGAAGCAAAAATCAGCACTATGCATTACAACATTAAGCAAAAATCAGCATTCAGCATTCAGCAAAAATCAGTATTACAGAATTCAGCATTCAGCAAAACTCAGCACTATGCATTACAGAATTCAGAAGAAGAAGCAACATTATTAAAATCAGCTATATATAAACATTAAAGAAACAGCAGCATTCATTATCAAAGAAGAAGGAAAAAAAAACAGAAAGCAAAAAAAAAAAACAGAATTAAAAAAGAAAATCCATCAGAATGTCTGGGAAGGAGCAGTAGCATCAAAAAGAAGAAAAAAAACAGAAGCAAAAAAAAAGAAAAAAAAAAGTAGCAGTAGCACCAGAAAGAAGAAAAAAAACAGAAGCAAAAAAATGAGAAAAAAAAAAGAAGCAGCAGCATAGCACAAAAAAGAAGCAGTAGCACAGAAAGAAGGAGCAGCAGACAGAAAGAAGGAGCAGAAAAAAAAATGAAGAATAAGCAGAAAAAAAAACAGAAAGAAGCAGTAGACAGAAAGAAGGAGCATAAGAAAAACAGAAACCAAAAAAAAAAAAGAATCAAAATCAGAAAGAAGAAAAAGCAGAGAGGAAGAAGAGATACAAAAGAGAAAAGAAAAAAGAGTAGACAAACCTGGAGCAGGAGCAGCAGTAGGAGCAACAGTGATCGACTGGCAAAATCAGCACTATCGATCATCTGGGAAGGAGTAGCAGCAGCAGCAATCGACTTGGAAGACCTGCACTATCAGTTGCTTGGTAAGGAGGAGCAGCAGTAACAAGGACTGGGAAGGAGCAACAACAGCGATGGTCGGGGAAGCAGAGCAGCATCGATGGTTGATCTAAAAATTAGGGTTGGGTTTTATATTTATGGGATAAGGGGGTAATTAGGTGTATTGGCATCTTATAATTTATTTTTTCAATTACCCCAATCTGACGATTCACAAGAAAAATAAAACAATCCAACGGTGCACAGTAAAAATAAAAAATTATTTCGCCTCGCATGACTAAGGCGTTCACTTTTTTGTCTTTCACTTAAGCGAAAAGTGCTCGCTTTTCTCGCTTCAACCATCTTCGTTTCGCTTGGTGTCCTCAAGGCGAGAGGCCTCCGCTTCGCCTCGCTTCTCGCCTAGGCGCGCTTTTCAAAACACTGGTTTTGATTTTGTAGACCTACTTACAACCGATGGTGCGTTTGCCAAGGGACAAGGACACCAATTTCCAACCTTGGGTTTTATGTAGAGCAGATAGTTTCTTATCCATAGCCTATTGCCAAAGAGGATCAACTACAACTTCTTTATAGGAAGTGGGTTCAGAAAGAGAGTGAATAGAAGTGAGAAATGAACAAAAGTGGAAGAATAACAAGAGTTAGAGAAATTAAACTTATCTGGATACTTCCGAAAATGCTGAGGATATCGAGGAGGATCCACAGTTTGAGAACCTTCTTGTGTGACATGAGGTGAAGTGGGAAGTACCGCATCTGTAGAATTGGCAATAGAAGTCTTGCGAACATAAATATGAACAATAAGAGGATGACTAACAATTAAATCAGAAGAAGAGAAAGATGATGGCAAGTTAGACACAACAATATAATTAACATATATGGGAACATCAGCAGGAAAGGGGTCAATATAAATGAGATCAGATTTATGTATAAAAGAAGAACTAAATGGAATTGAAAAGAAAGGAATATGTTCCATAAAGACAACATAACGAGAAACATATAACTTAAGTGTAATAGGATCATAGCAATGATACTCTTTTTTACCCTCCCCATAACTAGGGGTGCAACTTAGACGAGTCAATCCGAATTCAACCCAAACTCAACCTGAGAAAAACTGGGCTTGGGTTGAGGTTTTTATTACTTGGGTTGCACTTGAGCAAAAAAACACCAATCCGAATTAAATTCGGGCAGTACTCGGGTTGAGGCCTTAGGTTACCGGACTCTATCCGAATATATAAATTAGGCTCAACTCGATCATATTTAACAATAAATATATAAATTAATATAGCAATATAATTTGCAAGTTAAACACTAGAGATCAATCTTCTGGTACAACCTTATGTTAAACATTTGACTATTATGTCTTTATGTTAAAACATTGATTTTTATGCTTTAAATACTATGGTTTTTATGTTAAATATTTGATTGAAGTTGTTGATTATTATTTTAGGTGAATACTATGTAATATGTACCAGGTTTAGAACAACTGACTGATTGTGGGTTTGAATGAACCCAACTCAAATTCTAACCCGAAATCAGCCCGAATTGCATAACTCGAATCCAACCCGAATTCTAATCCAAAATTTGCCCGAATTACGTAACCCGAATTTAACCCGAGTCCGCCTGAATTAAACTTGGGCAATACTCGGGTTGAGGTAGGATAAGGGTTAGGGTTGAGGTCGAGAATTATATAATTAGGGTTGGTTTAGGGTTGACCCCTCAACCCGTCCGACCCGCACCCTTACCCGTAATCAAGAATGACATAAAGTTGAGCGAGCAGAAAGCTTAGTATAAAGAACACTAGGAAGTAAGACAAAACAAGTACAACCAAACACATGCAAAGAAAAATAATTGGGTGGCTTACCACAATTTTTTGAATGGAGATGTTTTTTGTAAGAAAAAAAAGTTAATTGGATGTGAGAAAATCTAAGCATGGAAGAAAATTATTTTTTCTATCATTTTCTATTTCATGCTAAACAAACACATGTAAAATTTTAAAATTTCCTCTTTCCTGCATTTTCTTGTTAAACAAACAGACCCTATTAGTTTGTACGATTACATTAAATCCTAAAATACATAGTAAATAGTGGCAGAGTCAGAAATTTAGTTTAGGGTGGGCAAAATACATTAAAACAAATTTTTCACAAGTTGAAGTTCATAGTTTAGAAAAAAAATTGTTAGGCAAGAATTATAAGTAAATAGATGTTGAAACAAAAAAATCATGGACAACATTGTTATTGTCTCTTGGGATTTCATATAAAGGCAAGAAATAACTTGCGTGAGGCTTGCATAGATTACAATGTTTATATGTGAATTTTATCAAGTTCAAATGGGTTTTTTTTTACTTTATTTTATGAACATGTTTCTTATATACTTATAAAATAATTCTATATTTTATTACATAATAATCCTACTTTTGATTTAATAAAAAATGAGTTTAAATATGTCCAAAATATATCCAAACATGTCTGGAGTGTATGTGTAATATGCTCAGTCATTTTGTGTTAGCCTATACAAAAAATATTAGGGTGAGCACAATAAAATTATTTTAAAACATATTTAACAAAGTGATATATGTATATCAATAAAAAATTTTTTCTACATTTAAGGGTGGGCGTATGCCCCCTGGGAGTTTAAATATGTCAAAAATATATCCAAACATGTCTAAAGTGTATCTATAATATGCTCGGTCATTTTGTGTTAGTTTATACAAAAAATATTAGGGTGGACACAATCAAATTATTTTAAAAATATTTGACAAAGTGATATATGTATATCAATAAAAAAATTTCAACATTTGAGGGTGGGCCTATGCCCCTTGGCCCTAGTGTCCCTCTGCCACTCATAGTAAATGCCCTTATATAATAGGGCAACACAAAACCAAGAAAATGACTAAATTAACCATAGTACTAGAAATACTAGACTACTCTAACAGTTTCATGTATGAGAACATATAAAATTTTTAGAGAAATTTTATGGTATATATGAGTTAAAGACGGATTCCACTGATTATGAAATCTAATTCTAGATGTATATATTAACAAAGTAGAATTTCATTATAAATGGTAAAAACCAATCAATAGAGTTATTTGTGCAATATAGTAATACTATTAGTATAATAAGTCTTGTACTTACGGGGTCTTTGATAGTCTTGGACCATCTAATACAGAGTACCTTTAAAGAGATGTGATACACGAGAGAGAAAGAGAGGAGAGAGTTCGATTGCTTGTGCCGCCTTGGAAGAAAAGTGGAGGATGGAGGCTGCCTGGGAAGTAAAAAAAGGGATGGAGGCCTGCTTTGATGTGCGATAGAAAAAGAATAAGAAGGGGTTGTATTCAATATTTTGATTTTTCAGGTTCTTGTTCCAAATCCTTTCAATGCCTTCTTGATGGTTTGTTGATTACTTCTTTTGCATTGGGTTTCTTCGTCAATGATTTAGGGTTGAAAAATTGATGAATTGGTTGTGGTTTTTGCATCTTTGGGGTCTGTGGATATGCATGTGGGTTTGGTCTTTTTTCTTCTATGACTCTGCTTTTTTTTTTTTCTCTCTAGCCTTTTTGCTTGCAATATGTAGATCTATAGATTATTCTCACTATATCGGTCCGACTTGGCCTGACTTGGTCAGAGTCGAGTGATTTGGCTCCAAGTTCGTCTGATATCTCTGAGCCATGAGCAAGACAACACTGATTCGCATGAGTTTTGTGTTATTTACATGTAGTGTAATGTTATCGGATCAATGTTGGCCAAGTTGGATGCATTGAACCTTGATAACAGAGTTTTAAAACCCGGCCCGACCCAGCCCGACAGGTTTACCCCAAAACCCCGTGAATCGGATCTTAAATTGGGCCGATTCATCATTTAGATCATTTGTGTGCCCAATGCTTGTTGAATCGGACAGTTCTTGAGTAAATCCTACAAATTGGATTGTTAGCACCAACCCAACCGATTCATTTTTAAGTCCTATAAAATAAGATATTTGGCCTTTTTGGCCATTATAAGCTATTTTGTAATTGCATCTAACAACCTCTCACTTATCTCTGTGTCGTGGAGATACTCCCATCTCCCTTTCTTAGTCTCTCGAACTTGATGTATCATCTAAATAGCAGTCACCACTCACCACTATGATACCACCATCAGTAGGTTCTTCAATGTCTCTTTCTCAGGTTTAACATCGTCTCTCTCACTCTCTCTTCTCTGCACTTTCATCGCCATCTCTCTCACCAGTTACCACTCACCAAACTGTGAGATAACTGTGACTAGGAGATTAGTTATCCGATTTCAAGAACATCATCCGCCATTACCCATAGACCATGAGATATAGTTGTTCTATCTCATAATTTGAACTATTCAATTCATTCATTGGCTTTTGCTTAAAAAAAATAACAAAATTCATTCATTGGCTTTTGTTCCAAAAAAAATAAAAAAATTCATTCATTGGCTGATTGATTTATGGTGAAGCAGAGCAACACCACTCTATATGTTAGCGATTATGGGGCCGCATTGTCTTCAATTGTAACTTGTAAACTCCTTTTCTGTTTTCCTGTCTTTCTTGTAGATGCTTGATGGGCCCAGCCTAAATCAAACCTAGATCACAGATGCAGGCTCGGCCTCGGTCAGACCCAGGTCATAGATGCAGACCAACAAAAGTTCATTACAATTTTAATTGGGCCAAGCACACCACCTTAGAAGATGAGTCTATTACTAAGCGCACGTGTGGATCTCCATCTTAGGAAGGGAATCGTGGAACGCAGTCATTGGGATGCGCATTGCCAACTTCATGAAATCATCTCGCCCATTATGAGAATGATGCCGGCCCCATTGAACCACTCCGCTCCTTGTAATAGCGTCTCAATCAAGACTCCCTTGGAGCCTTTTTGAAATGCTACTCGCCTATAAATTGTAAGCCACCTATACATTATCCCGCATGAAATTGGTCACTCGGACTGCGCCACCTAATCTGTGTCTTTTACTGTGTTGAGCATACCCCATCACATTCACCCTATGAAGCATGGATACTCTTGTAAAATAAATGATAGAATTTTAATTTCGGATATGTGTCTGACACTTCTTTAGAACGTGTCTACTATAAAACAATAAACATGTGTTGAAA